TATCTGCCTCCAGATCGCCGCGGCACGCCGCAGGCTGTGCGGTAGACACGGCGGAGGCGAGACGAAGAGCGAGTGTGGAGGAGAGAGAGTGAGGGTGGGGGAGAGAGAAAGGGGGAGGGGGAGGGAGAGGGAGAGGGAGAGGGAGAGGGAGAGGGAGAGGGAGAGGGAGAGAGAGAGAGAGAGAGAGAGAGAGAGAGAGAGAGAGAGAGAGAGAGAGAGAGGGGAGAGACGGAAAGAACGAACCGCGCGCCGGCAGTCCAGGCGCCACGGACGACAGAGGTGTGTTCATCGCTCACCGCTCGCGTGTCTGCCGTTGGAGCGACAGGTGCTAGCACAACCAGTTGATGCGCACCAACACAGCACCACACAGCTGGTCGGGCGCTGACGGGGCGCCAGCGCAGCCGCTGTCCAAGCACGAGACCACCGGGCGAAACGGAAGCAAAAAGGCGCCGACGTGTTGCCACAGCGACAGACTTCTCGTCACGGGACAGGTCACGAGACATGACACGTGGGGACGATGCCCGGAAGAATGGTGAGGCGAGGTGAGGTGATGCAAAGCAACGAGGAATGATTGTCTGGCCACGGACTCCCACAGAATCGCACAATGTGAAGAACCAATCAATTGGAGGGGCAGTTGCACATGTAATTAGTTAGTTAGGTCTATATCGTCAACTTGGAAACGCGAGTCAGTAAATCTTGACGAGAAAAGGCTGTGGACGTTAAATCATCAAAGTTCCTTTGACTCCAGCCAAGCTGCCCGTTTTCCCCGCTTGCGTCTCTGGTATCAGGAGCCCTCTATCCGGGTGTCTGCGTCTGACAACTGGTCGCCGTCGACAGCGGGTCCCGTCAGTGCCACCGCAAAAAGACTCACCACATACTGATCAAGAGAGAGATGGGCCGACGACGGGATGGCGATGGGACGGTGGGAGGTAGGGAGGGATGGGGGCGGAGGGCGAGGGGGTAGAGATCAGGTGGTGGTGCTTAGCGGGTGAAGTTGCACAGGGAATATCTTCAAATTCCGTTGGCACAGGATAGGGAGAAAGGCAGCACTAGCGAATCAACCAATGGGGATTGATAATGTATCTATGCATGTTGATGACAAAAGCTGGAGACAAGAGGAAATTCAGAGCGAAGGAAAGATGGTCTTCAGCTTGTGATGATGCAATTGATACATACATATCACAAATGCGATCAACTTTTCCTACTAGACCATCTTGTTTCCGCATTAGAGGCTTCCCAGAGCATCTTATTTCTCCACTAAAACACGAAACGAAACAGACGAGCGGGTAATAAAGGAGAAAGTAAACATCGGTGAAAGGTCTCCTCTTCAGACCGGTTTAGGGGAGTCATTTACACAAATGACAGACGCCCGAGGAAATGGTTCACCAACCGGTCAGAACTGGTTCAGTTCGTCGTTAGCGATATATTTAGAGCGTGTGGTCCCCTGTGAGACTTCATTAACGTCACGGAACGGCGCATTCCTTTTGCTAATGCAAAGCGGATACAGATTTTCAAGCTATTCCACGAACAGTTGTATGTTTTACAAGACACTGGACAAGTGTCCGCTAGGCGAAGACCAGCCACCCCACAGGGAGTGTCCTGAGTCATTTAATCTATGGAGCTATACACTAGCAATGCCATAATATGCATGTGAATGTCGGCTAAAACACAATGTCTGTTAGAGGTCCGTTGACCGACGCAGCAGGCAATTGTCTTCTATCCCACGGTCGGAAATGCAAATGGTAACAACAGCGAGTCATTGGACAAGGGCGACGGCCAGACATGACACGTCTGGTCACCGCGTCAGTCAGTCCGCATCTGGCTTCTGTCGCTACTGGCACCACCAACACGACCAGGGGGCCACAGAACAAAGCCACCGTCACCACCGGGCACCACAGAGCACCACCAGGCACCAGCGGACCGCCGACAGCCGACACCAACTTTCCCCGGGTGCCAAGGTCGGCGACCGGCGTCCGGCGGGCCAAACGATCGGAAAGACCAAAGGCCGACGGCCAGCTATGGTAGTTAGCCAGAGCTATACCAGCTACCAGCTACTAGCTACCAGCGGGGAGCGGACACCGAGCATCGGCACGGGATAACTGTTGATAACTGAAAACTTCCCCTTGCTAACACAGAAGCAAAAACCGCCTTTCGACAAGAACGTGCACGAAAGAGCCCTGAAGACAAAGCAACGTTGATCCTGTCTCTAAGCAAACAGCAAACTGATGATGACTACGTATGTCTGGCCTTTATGGGAGTCCCGATTGCGTCAATCACCGGCGCTCACGGGCATGAGTTTGATCCAATCACGAGCGCCAGTCGCCTGCAAGTGCCCATCCATTTCCACTCGTCCCTGCTGGTCACAGGGCTGTCTGGTGCAGACCGGACTGCTATCCGGCAGACTGGCCGGCGCGTCCCTCCAGCCTGCAGTGGTCATTGCGACCAGACGGGTTGATGTGTTCTGCAGCAGGCCCCCGGGCGCCGGCCGGCTGGAGGTGACACGCGGCACCGATACGACGAATGATGGCGTGGGAGGGGAGAGTGGGGCCACACCGGCACCGCTATACGGCCTCCGACTCCCAACACAAGTGTCGGTACACCCGGACAACCACACAAAAGTGCTTTGTCACGGCATCCATCTCTATGCCCCAACCAGAAGACGAAAAATCATATGAACAATCGGCAAGTCTCAGCAAGACCCATAATCTTTTCCCTCCCCTCAGCCAGCGATTGAATGAGCCAGCCAGTCACAGCAAGGGCAAATGGACACGATCAAAGCCCTCGTCCAGTCAGGGTTGCGCTGCAGGGAGACAGTGACGCTCCCCGGGTCACCACGTCACCAGGTAGCCCTCGTGCACGTGCCTGTGGGATGGTCGTAATCAGGGACTGGATGAGCCGTACCTGATAAGGCTGACTCATGGCAAACACTACCGATTAGAGAGCATGCTACGAATGCACTTCGCTTTATGTAGCCTGACGTAGATAAGGGGCTTCCGATAATGTCCGCGACAAGTTGTTGCAGTGACACTATCTCAAAGTTTCAAATTTATTGTCATCAAGTCTCTAACTAGCGCTCGATCTATTACGGTTGCTGAAAAGCAGTTCCTCCTGTGTAGTGCCCTAACCATGCCATCTTGCCCACTTCTTGCTGCCAGGGGCATGACAAAGGGTCCAAATAAGCCAACACTGCATGTCTCAAGACATGACGATTCAAGTTATCCAACACACGCATACAAGCACCGGGCAACACGAAGTGCCCAAATTACAACCACACTCCAGAATAAATGCCCCAACTTTGGGGAGAGTTCAGAGCTCACGCAACTCGGAGCTTAGTACAGCTCAAAGCTAACGCTTCACAGCTCCATCTCCACGGCTAATATTTGCAGCCCCCGAGCTACTCGTGCCACTCGTGGTATCACCGGGAAGAAAAGAGAGACATTTTAGGCAGCTGAGGGTATTTGCTCACTCACTGAAGAGGCAATCTTTTACCAAAATGAGCCCTAACTGAAAACACTTGAATGCATTTAACGTCATTGCATAAACCGTCACTCTGACTAAAACTTGGTCGATGGATGCATTAGGGTGATTCAGACGGATTTCATTTGGGAAATGAGAATAATGCAAATACGGACGATCAATATTCAACCGCTTTCCTATAATCACATTCCTTAAATGTCAAATCATATAAATGGACATTGGACTGAACAATCCAAGTAAAAATGGCTCACGACGAACCTATCCATGGTATTCGTGCATTACCTGGGCAGGAATCGCCACGCCATGTGTGGATCGTCCACGATCGTAAATACATGCATACATACATACATACATACCTAAATCAGTGGCAGGGTCCGAGCATTTCAAAGTGCAAATTACCATATGAGCGTTCATGTTATTCGTTGACGGATTGACATTCTGACAGTGGCAATACATAACCCGTCCGGTGGGTCACTTGGCTCTGGCGCGGGAACATGACTTCATTTCCAATGAGCGACACTTCGACAGAACGTGTTTATGTATAAGTGTATACCGTCGATCACCAGTGAGACACCCTGTCGTGACATCACCGGAGAAAAATCAGAATAACGCCAAGGCTCATCGGGATTCTGCATGGACTCATGGCCGTTGAGTCCAGCCCATAACAGGACTGGTCACCGTCTCGGCACAGACAGTAGAGACGGGAGCTAGGTACCATAGCCCGGCGACCGAGCTGGCGCAGCCCCGTAATACACTTCCAGACTACGGAGCCGTAGCGAACAGAATGACCAGAAACTTTCTTTGAGGAGTGTCATGACGAGCCACTCGACCTTCCCGTGTTATATTGATAGCGCCTACAAGTAATGGTGGCTTTACGAAAACGACTACAGCTATTGCGTCTTCCCGACAACGCCTACAATCAACTGAGGCTTTCCGATAACGCCTAAAAGTAATGACGGCTTTCTGGCAGTGCCTTGAAGTAGCGGCGGCTTTCCGACAGCGGCTGGCAGCAATGGCGGCTTTCTGGTCAGCTGCGATGGCGGCTGGGCCGGCCGGTTGGCGGTCCGACAGCTCTGGGCCGCCATCGCTCCCGGTACGGCCGCCCTCGGCGGGGCCACGGCGCCGCGTGCCGCCGATCGGACCGCATTCCTGGCCGTCACGGAAACCCCGGCCGCCGGCGCCGCTCGCCCGGCCGCCGGGACCACGCCGGGCGAGCGGGCCGGCCGGTGAGCACGCCACGGCAGACCCGCCGCCGTCGACACTGCGTCTCAGAACAGGAGCACGGCTCCGGCCAAACGTGACTCAGAAACGGCGAATCGGCCGGCCGGCCTGCGTCGTGCCGCCGCAAACAAACCGGCTATCGGCTGCGAGACGCGAGCGCTCGGAGCGGCGGCCGCTCGCCGGCCGGCCGGCTCGACTGGGCGGGGCGGGGCTCAGACCGGCCGGCCGGCCGGCGGGGTGGTACGCCTCTCACAGGGACTGGCGGGCGATGCAGAGGTGACCAAACATCACAGAACACTCACCCGATCACCGGAGGAGGCCTGCGCTCGCCGACAGTCCGCTCAGCCGGTTACCTGACGCACGAGCTTCCAAACCCACGTCACCGTCCGCGCTCTGTCGCCACTGAGCTCCGACTGAATACCGGCCTCGGCCGTCGGCCGGCGCCGCCGTGCGCCGGTATTCAGTGCAGCCGAGCTGCGGCCGGCCGGCCGGCCGGCGCCGCCGTGCCGCCCGGCGGCTCCTCCACAGCTGATGGAATCCGCACGTGAGCTTCATACGGAGGTGGGCCGAGTGCCGGGATGTTTTCGAAACACGCTGCCGGCCCGACCGCCGGGATACAGACACAGCCCCGGGGAGGAATTCTAAGTGAATAGAAGCGGCTCACGAGAAACATACGACACGCTCAGGCCGTAAGGTGGCAATTGAGCTAGACTCCCTAAACTATATCTTTCCTACCATTTTGGGGAAACAGCCTCTCCCTTACTGGCCAAAGTAATACCTCCAGTCAGCAGCGTGAAGGTACTGACTGATCGATAATGTGACTTGACCTGACCAGTCCGGCAGCGGAACGGGGAGGGCACCGGGGCACCATGCCCCCCTTTGATTTTGGCATTTTAACATTAGCCCTATGGGCGTTGCATGGAAAGAATGGGACCAAAAGTCGGCAGTGCCCCCCCCCTTAATTGAAGGTGTTCCGCCGCTACTGTTGACCACGACCAACGACCTACTTCATCGTGCAGCCATTTTCATATGCACCTAATATCGAAGCAGACCGCCGCAAGCAGATCGAAGCATTTGGTAAACACTAGCAACATGCCTGCTAGTGTTTTTGATAAGCATAGGCACAGAAATGTAGTGTTTAGTTGCAGTAACGAGCCAAACACTATGACGGGTTATGAGTTATGACACATGTGCCGCGAGGCCGATCGCCTGCAAGCTATACTGCGCCGCAAGGCACCGGTTGTAATGCGTAACACCACAATGGGCTGAACCGGTAACATTTTAGAACAAATCAGTGAAGATTAAAACAGCAGAATCAGCCAAAACGGCAGAGCAGAAAGCATCTCCTCATATTAGCTCACGTTTCATAATGCTTTTCGTGTTTCCAAGTTTCAATGTTGCATTTGTTCAATGCTGTGACTTACAAAAACGTATGCCGTCAACATGTGAATAATCGACTCTTGAGACAAAGGGGAGAAACGACTCTCAACGGACAAATGTAATATGTCAATCGCATGAAATTAACGTCATTCTCCTCGGAACATATGAATTGTTGTGCTGCTTGCGCGTGGAAGGGGTCACTTTCCACAAGACACCACAGACAATAGGGATTAGCCCCCATGCCTATGTCACGCAGCAATCGACGCCGCATTTCGAAGAAATACCGAGCACAAATATCGGCATGAACACCTTGGACGAAATAGATATTAAATAATAAATACCATGGCGTCATCATGTGTTAACCCGGCAGGCGGTTAGGCATTTTTGCCCCCCCCCCCCCCGTATCTCCAAAACTAATGGACGGATCCGGAAAATTCAAACGGAGTTCGATAGCCCTGTCAAATTTGTCGAAGGAAACCAAATTTCATTGACCTCGGGGTCACCGATGACGTCACAGGTCAGGTCAAAGATAAAATGTTTCACCGTTCACGGGGCTTCTAGGGAAAGCGCTATAACACCGAGTAAAACGCATTTTGTCGAAAATCAGCGATAAGGCGTCAGTTGTCTAGTACATATGTTGCTATTAGAGGTCACTGGTCATACCAGGTCAGGTCACAGGTCAGGTCACCAAAGGTCACCAAGGGTCACCACATGAGCCCAACTTTACTAAGGTTATGCGATGCATGTATTATGGCCAGTTTTTCATTTCCAATTCAATGGTGTTGGTTATAAGACCATCAGGCACGGTTTAGGTCACTTTCTGGTGGAGGTCAGGTCAAGGTCAGGTCAAAAAAGGTCAAATTTCAAAGTTGATATTTTTGCATAAAATGGGTATCGATTCGATGCAGCTCGTCACGGGGAGTCTAATGGTGGTCTTTGTTTTGCGCTACGAGGTCTAGAATTGCTAAAAATTGAGTTTGAAAATTTGACGTCATCAATTTTGAACAGTTTTTTCGCTATAACTTGGCCAAAAAAGAGGTATCGATCTCAAAGTTGGTATGTAGATAGAAGGCGGTAGGGACTATCACATATATTCCGTTTTTTTCGAAATTCAAAAAACTTTTTGGATTTTTTGGCTATTATATTCAAAATATCTATTTTTTATTTTTGGGGGTCAAAATCCAAAAAAAATGAAAAACCGAAATAGCAGTTTTGTAGCTGTTTTGATTCCACACCTTTTATATCAGAAACATTTTTCTGTATCTCTAAAGCTGTAGGCCTGACAGCTCTTCCCGCGAAACCTTTTTTTGGGTCGAAAATGGCAAAAATGACGTCACTTTTACGTCATTAGCGGCCAACCTATCACAGCCTTTGGAAAAATTTTTGGTCACCATGTGCGCTAGCTGCTCCCGGAAGGGTACTGAAAGTTTGGTGACGATCGGCGCAGCGATTCTCGAGATATATTGAAAAAACTAAAGGGGGGCAAAAAATGCCCCCCCCACCGCCTGGAAGGTTAACTGATCTCAGTGACGCTCATTTACAGCAAATTACCACTATCGCGAAGGAAGACGCTTTCGGGCGCTGTTTGGAATTCGGCGCTTAATGTAGCTCGCTGATGCTTTTCATAAAACATGGGGAACCGTTCGACGCATCCGCAAGTGGAGGAAAACATGGCTCCAGCTGAGGTTGAAATGTGACAAGACGATGGATAATTTAACGCGTGAATGGATCGGCGTGCGCTGAGGTATGTACACGTGCAACTGCATGGGTAAAAAACTCGTTCACTTATATAAGTGTTCGGAAAACATAGCAAAAGGTAAGACATAGAGGACGGTGTTTGATCAGGAGGATTGAGCATCATGCAGCCTCGGTTTAACTACATAGGTAGCATCGACTCAGTTGTCACCGTAAAACGAAAAATATGTTCGCCGGTATGAGTGTCGCGCTTTATATACAGAGTGCAGATGCATAATATTTGTTCATGCCACCACCGACGCTGCCTTCTTATTTTCCACATAAAAGCATTCTACAAATTGCATAGTGCATACCACGATCTCGCTTATTGACATCCCCGCATCTAGTTCTACTCTAATAATAAATCCCATTATTACACACGTAAACCATCCCCCTTGTTCGCCACCCAAAACATCCGCTTCAAACGAGCACAATGTCACTCTCGCCACACTAGCCGACGTTTGTCGCTCGCACGCCATTTGGCGTTGCGAACCGATGCGATCTCTGAGCTGGGATGTAAACATATCACGTCAGATTCAAACAGACGGTGGCCAGTGTTGCATCTTGCCGACATCTGGCGATTCATGGCGCGGAAAATGGGCAGTCAGTGAGAACATGGAGCACATTATGGTTGCGAGCCAGAAACTGTTTCATGAGGAGCGCGATTAGCATGGGCTAAAAAAAGTAATTCATGGAATATGTGTGACACTTGAAGAATCAATCCAGTTATGTAAAAGAAAATGTACAAAAAAATATCATTGCATGATACTAGAGCGAGGGCATATTTCTCGAGATAGATCAACACATCCCTCGTCCATCCAGGGTTAGGAAATTACGGAGAATCGCCGGAAATCCAAAAAAGTTGAAGACGATCCGTACGCGGCTATGTGCGTACGTTGAACTTCCGACTGTAAATTATGCCATAGACCAGGAATTACGCGATCTGAGGGCAGAGGGTAGGGCCAACGCAATAAGCTATGCTGAGCGGGGGCTCTGTCCCTGTGAGTCCTTCCATTCAAAAGGTTCGGTTCGGACTAAATTTATTTCTAAAAAAGGGTAAATGACTCATCCAGACCATGGCTCTGCCAAGTGCTAGCGTAAGCATATGCTGGACGAGTTCGTCTGAGCAAATGAGACCCACATCTGGCCCAATCAGAGAATTCACTGGGCCTGATATCAGTCACACGCCCACTCAAGTCAGTGGTGGTTGGGCCGATCTGATGTGGTCCGATCTGGACCACATCAGAAACGGATGTGGTCAACTGTGCCGATAAATTCACACGATTTACAATCTGATGTCATAGTACACACAGTTTATAATAAACAAACGACAAACAGCTTGCCGAAGAGGCCAGAGGCGGATCCAGCTCAGATTTTTTTTTGGGGGGGGGGGCAAACCATAACAATTTATCGATTCTTTCCATGCCTCGTCCATAGGCGTAATGTTAAAATTATGCCGTTTGGGAGGGGCAAATGCCCATTTTGCCCCCCCCCCTGGATCCGCCACTGGAAGAGGCTGAGTCCGACTGGGACCCACGCGAGCGTTCCTGACAGGAGAACACCTTTACAACCTACAACCATTGCGAGAGGCAGCTAGAGGAACCGGTGCCGATCTATCTTCCCATCTATGAAGAAAGGCGCTCCCGGCACAGCTCGCGGGTCCCGACCTGGACGGCCGTCGTGGTGTGATCGATCGCCGTCTCTAATCACCCACACAATCGGTGCCTGTCGCCAGGGGAGACGGCCAAACAGGGGGACTCAGTCGACCAGGACCGGCTCCTACTGCCACCTGGCGGGCGAACCGAGAACCAGCAATTCCTCCGTCCGCCGTCCGAGCGGTGAGGTCGCCCAATACCGAGCCAGTTGGGGTATTCCACAGGGGAGCAATGCCGCTTCAACCCTATTGGCCGTGGTGTCTAACGGTGGCGGCCATATTGCGCAGACCAGAAACCGGCTGCCGCCTGTGTTGAGGAATAGGGAATTCGGGACCTCGATTTACGTTTGCGGCCGCCGTATCCGTTACGTTCAAGTTACGTAGATACGGAACCCGGCATCTTACGCAGAATTGAGTGGGGAACACGATCGTATCTTCAGAATTCCTCAAATTTACTCGCCTGACCTACATTTGCCCCGGCCGAGGGGGTTGATTGAACCCACCTCGCTAATGCACCGCTAATTAAACTAGAATTAAGCGGTAAAGTGGTCGTATGCGGCAAAGTATAATACAGAGTGACTGGTAGGAACCCGCTGTAAGGGTCTCAGGTCAACCGGTGACCTCTGAGGTCAGGTCAAGTGATCTAAGGCACGGGTTCGGTTTTTGGTAAATAACTTCGCCAAAAAT